ATTAGATACAGGACCGTGACATTTGAGTCCTGAACTGTAGTGAGCCCATATGAACAAAACGGGGGATTCCCTCCCGGGACGTTCGGGGACGTCTACAGCTTGTTTCAAAGTCGACATCTCAGCAGTTATTCTCTCGTTTTTTAAAAGTTTGCTTGAAGGTAAGGAACCACACAGTATGTGTTCGGGTCTTACATGAGCACCCAAAAATTCTTCAAAAGCCAATGTCTATAAATCTTGTTACCATCGTTCCAACCAAAAGATACAACATCATGTTCCTTATATTTTTTTTCTTCAAATTTTGCATTCTACATAATATATATCTATGTATATATATATATATATATATATGTGACCAAAAAAGAAAGAAAAAGAATTAAAAAAAATACTTGAGGTAAGGTAATGCCTATTGTGCAAAAGCATATAATGAAGTCTTTAAAGGTTAGATACAGTCAGTGCAATGAGCAACAAAGTTTCTGTCCTAAAAACAATGTGAATATTGAAATATATAGACCATATAGTACAATACTCCTTAATATGTACCATTGTCACTAACCAGGTCCATCCAAAAAGCAGTTACATTAACTTGTGCAAGAGACATGATTAAGCAATCAAGAAATAAAGCATCCCTCTCTCTCAGCTCGAGGAGAATGGGCAGTAAGCTATGTAGTTGTGACATTGTCCTCCATGATTTTAGGGTTTACATTGTATCTTGTAGATTGCTATCTAGAAAGCACAGATATGGATACGAGATATGAATACGATACGATACGGATACGGTGATACAACAAAACCTAAAAAAGTAGGATACGGGTACGGCTAGGATACATTTGTAAAAAATAAAAATAAAAAAAATTATTAGTAGTGAGTTACACATAAGTTCGAGAATGTTGAGAAACCACAGTAACTTTATAATGCAAAATACTAATCTTTAAGAATTTGATATTAATTTAAGTCACTAGTTAGTTTAGTTTTTAAATTTTCAATAGGTCTTGCAAATATTTCATTTCAATATCAAGTCTAATATGTTGATATTATAATATCAAAACAATCCACAACTTGACCCTATACTTTTTTTTTCTCTTGCACTTGTCAAAAATATTCTATAAATGCAAGTTTATTTGCTTATTTATTTATTGATATTTAATATTACTATTGTTATATTATCTTATTAATCCTTATTTCTATTTAGTTATAGGGGACATGCATGATACAATGAAGATATGTCAATTTGATGAATTCTATTACTTTAGCTTACTATGTTATTTTTATAACATAGTAAGCTAAAGTAATTTTCTTTTTTCATCAATAAATCTTTTCTTTTGCTTATCAAAAAATTAACAAAAAAATTTAAAAAATGTTATTTTTATAAAAAAACTAAGTAAAGTATTGTAAAAATATTCTATTTATCCTTACAATTATATTATATTATGATGTTATGCAAGAAATGATACAATTCTAATTTCATAAAAGGAATAATAGGTGACTTGGAGCATTTGATACTTCAAAATTAATTAAGAAGTATCCGATAATATGTGACTTGGAGCCTCCGAAACTTCAAAACTAAGTGTCCGATACTTCAAAACTAAGTATCTGATACTTCAAAATTAATGAAAAATTAATTAAGAAGTATCCGATACTTTTAATAAATATCTGATACGTATCCGTAAGTATCCAAGGAGTATCGGTATCCGATATGGATACGTCTCCCTATTTAAAGTATCCGTGCTTCATAGATTGCTATAGTTTTTGGAATCCATAAAAAGAACTCATATTCCAAAATATCACTTTTACCATATACAACAATACAAAGACATGAATCAAATAGTAGTTTATGCACATTATAACACAATAAATATATTAGTTTTTTTTTTTGATCAACAAAGAAAAATTTCATTAACAGTATGAAATTTCATTAACAATAAATATATTAGTATCAATCATTCAATTATAAACTCACCGATTCCACCTTTTTCATTTCAATCATATAAAGTGTAGGATTTTCTTGCAAAGCATACCAAGCAATGCCAAAAATTAGGACCCCAAAGTAGACAATATCTGTTTTGTCTAGGCAAGATTTAATGAAAAAATTTTAAGGCTCCAACTTTAGATTGCAGGGCTAAACAAAGAAAGTTCAAGTTCTATGTATCAGCCTAATTTGGAAGCAACTTGAACCTGGCAAACCGGTGTCCACATAATCTAAGATGCAGAGCACAAAGAATGTATACTCTTCCCACAAAACTACTACTTTGAAACTTGTATACAGGTTTTTTTCTTCTTCCATGTACCGTAATTGACAATTCATTCTTTACTAGAAAAATAGAGTAGGAATTTACATTAAAGTTGTACTGAATTTACATTAAAGTTGTACTGTATTTACGTTGTCAAGATCTCTTTTGAACCCTAGCTTAGATGGAGAGATCTCCTTGCTGGAAATTGAAGGAATACAAGACCATTCACAAGCACATTACTTTCTCATTACTGCTCTACTTCAATTTTCACCTCTTTTATTTTTTCAAAATATTCTAAGATCCTAGCACTATTTACTTGTCGCTAACATATATTTGTCATTAATATGAAGACCACTGCAACTTCCATTTTTATCTACCACATCAACTTTCAAGGTTCATTGCCACAAAGGGCCTCAAATTAAGTTAGATCTAAAATCAAGTGCTTTATAACATGTTTGAATTTAGTATTAGATCATTAGTTCAGACCTACTAGCAAGATAAACTGTGAAAGATATGACACACGAAGCAAGAAAAGTGCACCTGTTTGGACTCAGCAGCTTTTGCAAACAGCATGAAGTCCCCATACACATGACCTGTTTGTACGACATTAAGAGCAGTAGTGATAGCATGGCCAGCCTGAAACATATCCATCAGGCATGAAGTGATAGATTAAATTCAATAATCTATATAAACAACTCAAAGAGAATGATATATACTTCAGACAGCTCATGTGGCACACCAAGAAATATCCAAAATGGAGTGCAACTGTTAGATAATCATCATATTAACAAATCACGGATTTCTCTACATTTAACCACATTACAAAGAAAAAATTCTAAGAACCAAGACGGTGCACCAACTGCCACTAAAAGCATGCATGAGAGAGAGAGAGAGAGAGCAAACTATAAGACTAACCGCGAAAAAATGTTCCTTCAATTGTAAGAAATTAAATTACATACATACAAGACATAAAGGTTATTGATTATGCAGTTACATCCAATTTAATTGGTACCGTGCGGCATTCATTTGGAACCAAATAACAAGGCAAGGAGTAAACAACTCATGAATGAAAAGATTTTGACACAGATTTATCATTAAAAAACATAAATGAATGTAATTGTATATCCGAAGTCAAGAAATGAGAAATTAGTTGATTCTTTGTGCACAGATGCAGCAAAGACAGACTTCCCATTTCCTGGGTTAATAAGACCAAGTGCAATAGAAATATACCACGGAAACACAATTACAATAAATAAGATGTGTTAAAACATGCACAGGTTTTGCATTGCTTTCGAGACAAGCATATGAAATACAAAAGATGTTAACAATGTATAGAACCAACAAAAAATTGTATGCAATTTAATTGCATGCGAAGAAACTTTGATGTATGAGCATTGTAAGCTTTCTGTATTTCTGTATATTCAATTGTATATTTGATTACAACCATACCTGAGATTATATAGCCCTAACTCCTAAACCAAAAAAGAGAATACAATCATGCCTCTAATAGGACTCTAATACAATCACTCATCTAATAGGACTCTAATACATATGACCACAATCATGCCTAATTTGTAAGATTCACAATTATGAGAATAAAACTGACTCGACTAAGAATCTAATTGAAAATATGAAAGTACAACGGGGGAGGTAGACTGAGGAAGATGCAGGCTTTCTACCACATAGAGATCTCCAACTCTACGGCCGGTCCCAATTTGCTTCTTAGATACGCGATCCTGCACACAACAAACAGAAGAAGAAAAGATAACATCAAAACCAGAAGCATCAAGCTGACTAATAGAAAGCAAGCTAACAGACAGTTGAGGAACATAAAGAACAGAGGGAATAGTAACAGCAGACATAGCAGAAGGTAAAACATACCTAATAGATAGGACAGACATACCAGACCCATTAGCAGTATTGATAGTAACAGGAAAGGGAGGGGGGATACAGTTTTGGAGTAAGGAAAGGTGAAGAGTCATATGATGAGAGGCACCAGAATCAAAAAGCCAAACAGAGGAAGAAATACATGAAGAGGACCCAAGCAAACCTGAATAAGGAGAGGTGAGAGCAGAGGTAGATGAAGAGGATTGGGAGGTGGACCAGAGATGCTGAAGCTGAGCAATTTGAGCACTAAAGGAAGCCAAGTCATGATCAAACGCCAGGGCAGAGGCAATATAAGTAGCAGGAGGGCGAAAAGTACTTAGAGCAGGACCTCGGGACTGTGGCTTAGGCGGCTGAGAAGATTGAGCAGACTGATGGCCCTTCTTGGAATAGTTGTACTTCCAATGGCCTTTTTGATGGCAAAAACACACTCATCAGAGGCTAGTGGCCCTTCTTGGGCTTGGCATTGGCCTGAAGCTGATGAGGTGGGGGGTTCGGTAGTAGAGGAGACGGAGTAGGAGCCAAGAAGATAGATGGAGACAGAGTCTGACTAGCTATCTTAAGATGGGTTTCCTCGGAGATGAGCTCACGAACGATAACATCCACAGAGGGGAGAGGAGACCGATGAAGGATGCCACCACGGATAGCCTCATACAGAGGAAAGAGAACCGTTAAGAATTGAACTAAAGGACCTTGCTCCCGAAACTCAACATAAGCGTCAAGTGTCTTGAGGCTAGATGGTTCCATGAGAGCCAGCTGATCCCAGAGCCCTGTCATCTCAATGTAGAAGTCTTGAATAGACAGATCCCGCTAACGAGCCCCCTGAATAACTGTTTCTAACTACCGTTTGGCAAAGTTGGACTGCTAATAAACACTTTGTAAATAATCCTACACCTTTTTGGCAGTGCTATATTTAGAGAACATCATCCCGATACGGTCATCTACGAAGTTATGGAACCAGGCCAAAACTTGAGCATTATCACAATCCCAAGTGTCACAGGAACTCAGATAGTCTTTTTGTTTGGGATCCGATGGACGAGGAATAGAACCAGAAACGTATCCCCATTTTTTTCGACCGACAAGAAAATTTCTCATAACACTAGACTAATAAGCATAGTTGTCACTTGTAAGCCTGCATTTAATAGCTTGGATTTTATCTTCCGACATTGTAATGAACCAGAAATAAAAGCAAAAAGAACTGATGGGGCATAGTGATAAAATCCAATAAAGTTAAGGGGTCAAGTTGTAATAATCCAAAGTTGAAACAGAGAGGTCAAGGTGGATTGAAATTAGAACATAGAACAAAACCGGAGATAGAGAGAGCAAAGACCAGAGAGAGAGAGCCAACACAGAGGTCGCGAGAGAGTGAGAGAGATCCCTCAAGACCAAACCAGACTCGTGATTTCAAACCCAAAAAGAGAAGGCAATCGCAATTTCAGCGAAGACATAGAGGGTTGTCGCGACTTCAGAGAAGATTGTCACGACCCAGCAAGACCTTCGTGGCTTCGGAGAGGGCTGTCGCGACTATCACAACCCAGAGAGGGCTGGCTTCGATCGACCTAGAAAGACCCAGCAAGCAAGAACGAAGAACTTCGAATGATAAAGGCCAGACCTAGGGTTTCGGACGTGGCTCTGATACCATGTAAGCTTTTTGTATTTCTGTATATTCAATTGTATATTTGATTACAACTAGACCTTAGATTATATAGCCCTAAATCCTAAACCAAAAAGGAGAATACAATCATGCCTCTAATAGGACTCTAATACAATCACTCCTCTAATAGGACTCTAATATGTACAACCACAATCATGCCTAATTTGTAAGGTTCACAATGTATTCTCACAGATCTTAGGCCTCGTTTGGGAACAGGCTAATTTAGTAACTTTTTGGCTATTTTGCTAAAATATGAGCTAAAAAAAATTAGTATGTTTGGGATGACTTTTTGACTTTTTACAAAAAGATGTGCAAAAAGTAGAAATAAAATAGAATCTTTGACTTTTTGGTATGGGTTGTCGGCTTTTTGGCTAATTTAGTAACTTTTTGATTTTTTGGCTAAAAATGAGGGTTCCCAAACGAGGCCTTAATATCAAAATAAACCAATGAAGCAGCAAGAATAAAGAAAATAGTGCAGACTCACCCTTTTAGCAAAATGGACAGCATTTTCTTTTTGATTTTCAAGGGGTGAAACAACAGGAAGATACTCCACCTATACAATTTAACAAATAACCTCAATCAATTTATTACCAACATAAAATACAAGTAATGCAATAACAAAAAATTCCAATTAAATAGGTATGGTTGCCTTGTTTGTATGCATGTATACCTAAGCTAATGCATAATAAGTATTGTCTGCTGCGGTCTATAAAATATACACGCACATGTAAGGTCAAGAAGCAAATTCTAAGACAATATCTGCTATATGGACGTAAAAGCACTGCAATGTTCTTTCCACGATCTTATTGCAGCATTAGATGATTAACAAATAAACACATTGGCTATTACAAGCCAAAACACTGTTATTGCACTGCCCATAAGTTACCCAAAGCAGAAATTGGCTCGTTGACTTCAATTCTCAGAGACACTTTGTTCTCCCATTAAAACTATCCAACTTTATATTATGGAATGGCATGTTCTGTTCTTGGCACGGAAAATATCATTTGCAGTATGAATGTCTTTTGAAGACAACAGCTACCCCAGGTATAATAAATTTGAGAGAGAGAGAGAGAGAGAGAGAGAGAGAGAGAGCACTTACGTGCACACAGGAAACTCTGTTATAGTAGTCTGTTTCAATAGTGAAGAACCATTTGATTTCAAAGAAATGAATTAGAATGAGGAGATTCTATCCGATGGATGACATTTCAGCCAATTTAATGTTTTAACTCTTTTTACTCTAGAGGGTCATAAGAGATCTTCTTTTCCTTGGAAAGAGGTGTGGGCTACAAAGGCCCATCCAACATAGCTTTCTTTGTGTGGTGTGCAATGTATGAAAGATACTTACTATTGATAATTCGAGTAGAAGGCAAGAACATTTTAATTGGTGTTGCATATGTAAGCCTGATGGATGAGTCGCTAAGCCATCTTATTCAGTATGAAGTGGTGCGGTATTTATGGTCTTTGATCCTCATGTTTGGTGTGAAATGGATGTTCCCTCAGAGGGTGGGGGAGCTTCTTTGTTCATGGACAGGTCAAAGGAGCATGAGTGAGAGGACGAAGAAGACTTGGTGTTTGGTTCATCTAGAATTAATGTGGTTGGTAAGGGAGGAACGGAATAGAACTTTTGAAGGAAAGGAAGAGCTATTTTGAGCATCAAGACTAGAATATTGTCCTTTTTTGTATAGTTAATTTCAGTGATGGTCAATCCATCCTTGAACCAACTTTTTTATTTTGTAGAGGCCTTTGAATAGGCTTTATATGTATAGATGAGATAGGTATTCCTTTGCATACAGGTTGCACTCCCATGGTGCCTCTCTAAATCTTTATTAATAATATTTCCTGATATATATATAAATTATTAACATGACAAAGAAATATAAGGAAAAACACGAAGAGAATCATATGGGCATTTTTTCGATTTTTTTTTCTTTTTATAATTTCATATGCTTACTAATTTTCCAAAAAAATATGGCAAATTGGGGCATTACTATAAATGATTTGCCACCTCAGACCTTATTATACAGAAATCTAACAAGAAAACAAATACACACTAAACTACATTTTCGGAATATGCAACTTCAGAAAAATAAATAAATTAATCACTCAGTCACAGAGGCAATGGGGGACTACTTCAGCTACGGCATACCTCCATGAAATTGTGAAACTGCGTAAACATTCTAAACATGAGCATCGCCAAAGTAACATTTCCCCTACACAAAATGGCAGGCCATACAAAGCAGTTTGGTCAGATATTTCAAACGATTCAACCAAATTGGATTCAAGTAAAGAAAACTCCTACCAGGATTGGTCGAAGTGTACATGGGGATAGCGAACAATCACTGGCTGGACAGGATATCCAGGGATAAATGCACCAAGTTGGAAAGAAATGAGAAGTCTTCCATTTGTTGTTGTTCCCTCGGGAAATAAAAGCAAACGAGGAAATCTATTGGAAGAAGCCTTTCTCTGTATTCAGATCCTTGAAAGTACATTTCTATATCAAATACCTTATATATTGATAAAACTTAATATTCTAAAAGCTTTTCAAGCAAGAATATAGCAACTCTAGATATAAACCCAATAAGCCATTGATAACATTGTTAGGATGTGTTCTTAAACAACAAAGTCAAGTTCAAGCAATTTAACCAATATATATTGCAGGAAACAAGTTTCACAACCACAAAACAACCAAAAAAACATTTCAGTAATCATCATATATTTATTAATAACAAGACAAACAATACAACAAAGCAAGTAACAACATCATCCTAAATAACTAAAAGAATTCATGAAAACTTCAGCAAGAGAAAAAGAATCAGAATACGTAGTTAGTGAAGTCATAGAAATGTACTACCTTTATTTCACTAACAGCATGCTTCCTTGATGATGATGAGAACCTATTAACATAAATAACCTACAAACATAGAGAAGTGAGAAAAAGAAAGATTTGTTATCCAATTTAGTTAACTTGAATGCACAAAACTGAATCTGAAAAATAATGACAATAAGCTCATCCAAAAAAAAAAAAAAAAAACTTTAATATACGGAATGGATAAATGATTACCTGCATTGCTCTGATTATGGTTCCAACAAAAGGTATGGAATCATGGGATTCAGCCGCAACAATGGTGGGAAACAATTCATAGAAAAAGAAGATAGGTTCAATATATGATACATGATTAGATACAACAATAGGAGCAGTCTCCCTTGGAGCGGGTTTTCCTTTACGTTTTATCCAATGGTAACTGCAACATCCAAAGAAAAAGAGGATCAAATTGAACTTATACATAATGAAAGTGAATGCAGAAAGCAAATTTTGGAGAAGCACATAATTCACAAACTTGATTTTTTGAAGTCCCCACCCCCATATAATATATATATACACACAGGAACATGTGGTAAACAGAAAGAAGGGAAAGATGACAAGCCAAAATGAAAACTATTTCAACCATGACACCATGAAGAAGTCTAACATGCTTCCTGTCAACCTAACGAAACAACATCCCAAGTAATTGTTGTTGGCCACATAAATCCCTATCATCGTCTAACCAAATTACAGAAATATGTTGACAAATAGAGTTAGCTACATAATTCTCTTTCTGCCATTAATTCCAAGTTCAATAGAGGTTCTGAAATATGGTTCATTTATTGCAACCCACTAATACTGGATTGTGACTAGATGTGTGAAAAATAGGGCACTAAGCACATGTAATGACAAAAGTTGTGAAAATTTGTTTACATCAATAAGACTGAGTTATTTGTTCTTCAGAAGTCTTCAAGATACTTCCCGAAAAAAAGCTAGATTAACACATTATTTTCCTATTGGAAACATTACTCATTATTTTCCTAACGGAAACATTACTTATTCTTAAAGAGACTCTTTTGAAACTAGAAAAATCTCTTGAATGCAAGGAATTAGAAAAGAAGTGGCAATAGTTGCTCTAAAAATAAAGAGAGAGGTGGTCGTCACTTGGATTTGGAAAAAAAGAAAAGTGAAAGGCTGACAGCCCATGTGACTCTTAACTTTCAAGCAGGGGTTATTCTAGAAGAGTCCTTAAAAAATCTAAGCAACTAAATTGAAGAAATGAGGAGATAGCAAGGAAATTTGTTCTATTGAAAAGTTTCTTAGAAACTCAAAGAAAATAGGAGATCAACAAGCGGACTTGCCACCCTATATATCATTTATGGAGCATGTCGATGGAAAGGACACAGAATCAAGAAGTTAATTCCAAAGTGAAAAGCAGATTTTTATGCTCACTGTATAGTTGGGATGTTTATGTCGAGAATTTTAATGCTTTAGTTGATCTATAGGGTCATCTTTGGTTCATTTGGTTACAATGCTGGTAGAAAGTTTTATGCATGTTTTCTAATTTATTGGTAAAAATAATCTTGTAATTTAAACTTTCTAGACAGGATGTGGTAGCTATTCATGGTTCTATCGGTTGGGGATCTATTATTCACTTCCTTCAGTAGACTTATGCAAGTTTTATAACTTACAATCTATGTAACCAACAAAGACTGGGAGTCCGTAGAGGTCCATAGACATCTGCATACTCTTTTGAATTCAATAGATATCACTTCAAGTAGTTTCCATAAGCTTTCAAAACCATTGATATTGCTCGTTTCTGCACACTGTTATCACTCTTCCCACCCATAAAAAAAATTAAAAAAAAAACTACTTTGACAATCCCAATCCTCCCTCCATCAACTATTCAATCTTACCAGCTCAAAGTCACATACAACACATGCTATTGTTCCTACCACATAAGCTGTTAACCTTACACCCAAAACATCTTAGTAATTGCTGCCAGAAATCCAAATAACATTTTCCCCAAATTGCCAACAACCAAACTCCTCATACAAGTGGCCAATTGTAACCCTTTCGCCATTCATAAAGCCTTCAGCCTTTCCTCCACTTACTAAAATCCAAGGATCCAAGGCCCACCACAAAATCAATGATGCACATGGTTCACCGAGCCAAAATCCAAACAGCATTTACCCCAAATTGCCAACAACCAAACTCCTCATACAAGTGGCCAATTGTAACCCTTTCGCCATTCATAAAGCCTTCAGCCTTTCCTCCACTTACTAAAATCCAAGGATCCAAGGCCCACCACAAAATCAATGATGCACATGGTTCACCGAGCCAAAATCCAAACAGCATTTACCCCAAATTGCCAACAACCAAACTCCTCATACAAGTGGCCAATTGTAACCCTTTCGCCATTCATAAAGCCTTCAGCCTTTCCTCCACTTACTAAAATCCAAGGATCCAAGGCCCACCACAAAATCAATGATGCACATGGTTCACCGAGCCAAAATCCAAACAGCATTTACCCCAAATTGCCAACAACCAAACTCCTCATACAAGTGGCCAATTGTAACCCTTTCGCCATTCATAAAGCCTTCAGCCTTTCCTCCACTTACTAAAATCCAAGGATCCAAGGCCCACCACAAAATCAATGATGCACATGGTTCACCGAGCCAAAATCCAAACAGCATTTACCCCAAATTGCCAACAACCAAACTCCTCATACAAGTGGCCAATTGTAACCCTTTCGCCATTCATAAAGCCTTCAGCCTTTCCTCCACTTACTAAAATCCAAGGATCCAAGGCCCACCACAAAATCAATGATGCACATGGTTCACCGAGCCAAAATCCAAACAGCATTTACCCCAAATTGCCAACAACCAAACTCCTCATACAAGTGGCCAATTGTAACCCTTTCGCCATTCATAAAGCCTTCAGCCTTTCCTCCACTTACTAAAATCCAAGGATCCAAGGCCCACCACAAAATCAATGATGCACATGGTTCACCGAGCCAAAATCCAAACAGCATTTACCCCAAATTGCCAACAACCAAACTTCTACATGTGACCAGTTGTAACCCTTCTTCCATTCATTAACCCTTCAACCTTTACTCTACTTATGAAAATCCAAGGATCCAAGGCCCACCGCAAAATCAAACGCGTGCACGCATTTCGAGTTGTCTTGTTTTCATCTATTGGCCTATTCTGTGAGTGTGGCTGAGGTCCACTCATGTTGGTGTAAGTCCATTATGCATTGTGTATGCCATTTCATTTCATAGCATTGTGTATGCTAGGTTGTATGTTAGCGCATTGTGTATGCCATGTTATCTCGTGCATCGTGTATGCCATTTCATAGTATTGTGCATGCTAGGTTGTATATTAGTTGCATTCATGCATGTCATGCATATTGCATTGTGCTTGGGATAGGAGTTAGCCCGAGCACGGGAAACGAGGGACGTTTCGTACTTCGAGTGACGGAACGTGTCTCAATTCCCAGTCACCGACACTCCGGATTATCCATGATGGGGTTTAGGTCTTGTTGTGTTTATATGTGCATTCATTTCATTTCATATCGAGTCGTGCAATTTGACTCCTCGGCCATCATGCATCGATATGCATGATTGATGCCACGAGGATCGAGGACTACACTCCCTGAAGAGTAGTCAAGCATATATATATGTGAAAATACATTGCCATGCCTCTTTCCTGCTCTCTGTTACAGAAAATTAGAAATCAGCAGCTTTCAAAAGCCTTGCACAACATTCCGGCATCAATTGCAAACAGAGGCTAATTGGGGCATCGCAATGGATTTCCGTACAAAGGCAACCCGAGCATGCATCATTCACCATCCGGAGCAGATTTGAGGCAGTCCTTGGCTTGCATGCCAATTTATTGCTTTCCTAATATAATTTGTTAATTAATTAGGATTTTGTAATTATTTATTCGGGACTGTAATTATTTATTTGGGACTGTATATTATTTATTCGGACCCTCCGAGTGAGGGCACAACTGTAATAAGTGTGCGTGCGTGTGATGTATGTCTTCCAACCCCACGTCTTTCTCTCTTTTATTTACCCGCTTATGATGGTTAGATTAGGGCATGTTTCAATTAGCATACAGTATGATAGCATGTTTGCATTCACTCATCTATTTTGCATGCACTGGGCTCGGCGCATCATACTAATTCCATTGTATTTTCAATTCCAAGTTGAATACAGCTAACTGTAGCATTTCATATACCATGTTTAGAATAGCCGAGCCTGCTATAGTTGCATTTTTGCATGTGTTGCATTAGGCATTTCTGTATAGTTAGGACCATGCATGGATTTCTAATTAGCTTCTGTTTTAGCTTGGAGTACTCGGTAAGTTCTTATGCTTTAGCATCCTTGCATGTGTGTGAGTGACTGCCATGATAGCGTGCTTACCATGAGGCCATGTGCTTATGTGATATAACTGCCTGAATGCCTGTGGGTGAAGGTTGGGTTATTTGAATTGGAACAATTCATCAAATGTGTGTTTTAAGCCCACTAGATAGTGGCAAAATCATGTTTTCTAAAGCCCACCCGAGGGTGGCAAATCCACGTCTTAGCCTACTTGCGCGTAGCACCATCAAACCATTTTCAAACAAACAAACATGAAATGTTTTGTTCCAATTCAGACGATCCAGTCTATACTTGTATGCTGTGCACATCACATAGTAAATCTAGGCTAATAACCGGAATAAGAACACATAATGTTTTCAAAAACAGATATCACGGTTACTAGAGGCCGATCTTTGATCGGACGAGCGAGAGTGCTCACGAAGTGACCTTCCCCAATCGTGCCCAAGTTCCGGAGCCGAGGCAACTTTGGTGGTGACGGACACGTGGCCTTAGGCAACGAGTCAGGGTTTCCTAAATTTCCCAAAATAAAATATTTAGGTGGCGACTCTGTATCTGGCAAAGCAGTCCATGTTTGACACTTCTTTCAAAATCTATTTTCTCAAAACGATTTGCCAGATTTGGACTCTTTGGTTCAGATTTAGAACCGTGACATTTGCGAGTCCGAGCTGTAGTGACCCCAAATGAACAGAACGGAGGGGGGGACTCTCCCTCCCGGGGCGTTCGGGGACGTCTACAGTTTCTGGCGACTCCGCTGGGGAATTAGAGAACTTGACTCGAACTCATGATATCTGTTTTTGACCACACTTATGTGTTTCTTTGCATTGCATGTGCATTGGTGCGCCTAAGACACCGTGTTTGCCATCTGCTATTCCTGAGCGGTTTGCTGGAGGCTTGTCTTGTCAAGGCATGACCGTAAGGCTGACCGGTTATGGGCTCTGCCAGTATGGGAACACAAACCCCGGTTTTACCAGGGCACCCTTTTTGACCATTCGACCTAGTGCATATTCGGATCCATAGTGACCATTCCAAACTAGGACAGGTTGCTTACCCGTTTGTAGGTTGTTTGAAACCGCTGCGTGCGTAGTGAAACCCTAGCTCCTAACAAAAATAGGACAGGGAAACCCTCCCCTAACATAGGGGTGTTTTGGCTCTCAATTATCTGTTATGTGCTGTTAGAGTG